AAAAAAAAAAAAAAAAAAGTTAAAGTTAATACTCAATGGACAAAATAAAATTCCTCTACTTTTTAATAATACGATTTGAGTTTTCCAATATTTTCTTCTCATTAATAATAGCATATTCATTGCATCAAACACGATTTTTACAGCTCTTACACTAAAAAACTATCACCCTTCTAGAGACAGTTGCTTTTTTTTTTTTACGTGATTTCCTCGCTTTCTTAAGACAAAAAGGTCAAACAAACAACCACCCAATTAAAGGCCTTAATTTTCATTAATTTTAATTTTTCATAGCTTGGTTAATGAAAATTCAAATAAGGGTTACTAGCTAAGACATTAATTAAGATCTAAAATTTATAATGACACAAAATTAGGATTGACAAACAAAAAAAAAAAAGCAAGTTAAAGTAACAGTGAAATTAAGCAGCTCTGACTCTGAACAGTTAACTATGTTTGTGTGATTCATTCACGTACATGTGATTGGAAATTAGTAAGGGAAGGGAATTAAGGGCACTAATTAAGTAAAGGAGAATCTAATGAGCAATAAGTTTGAATTTGAAAGCCCAGCTGAAATGATGATCGAGGTTTTTAGAATCATCATTTGGTCGGTCAGTCGGTCTTCCCCTAAATGGCCGCCGTATCAATATCATAATATATAATAATTCCTTCTTATAATTAATTTCAGCCTTTTCCTTCTCATTATTGCTTAATTTGCTATGGTTATTAGTAATGATGAACTACATTGATTAATTTCTTGATTCTGTATAATTAATCGTACTCGACCTGTGTGTATATATTACACAATCTAATCTAATATATATATATATGTGCTGCATAATTAAAAAGCCAAATTCACGTGTCTTGTTTTTGTTCAGTTTTATGAAACTAAAAACACAGAAGGTGAGCACGTAAGGCTGGGATACAAAAATCTCTTTGGTTTATTAATTAAGACACTACGTACACAGGTAAAATAAAACCAGCTAATATAGAAGAAATTGTTAATCTAATTTCATTATAAATTGGTGTTTTAATTGTTACTCATATTTCATTAATAATGAAAATAAACATATATATATATATTATCTAGGGAATAATAAATTTTAAATAACACTAAAAAAATAACAAAAGCATATGATATTCCAGATATTATATTGTTATTATTGTACATAGTAAATGTATTTCATAATCATCACCTTGGCAACAAATTAATATGCGGATTGTTTTTGGCATTAATGGTTGCTTTTGTCCTTTAGTACGTTGATGTATATAGTCAAGGCAATTTACTTAGAAAAAAAAATAAAAAAAAGACAGAAAGATCATAAACTTTTCTTGTCAAACTACACATAAATGTTTTGTGGATAAAATACTAACCACAAGAAAACTCCTCATGTTTTTGGTGCATTCATAATATGATCACATATACACATTGCCATCTGTTTGTGACAAAGACTTCCCTGAAAGTGAGATCTTAATTAATTTGTTTTAAATACACAAGTGTGGTAATGAAGCTGAGACATAAATATGATGACTTGTTAAAATATATGGAAGCTCATCAATATATATTTATATATTATATCAAATCAATACTGATCAAAAGGAAACTAAGACACCAATTTAATTAAATTATTTTTGTCCTGCAATGAGTGCAGTCTAAGAGATTTCCTTATGGAAGTTGTCGTTGTAGCCAGCCTCTTTGTTTAAATAAGTACTATACTTACTCGGGATGAACATACATAATGTTAATTAATCATAGTATTTCGTACACTTTACCAATAACATGCACAACACTGCTAATTAAAGTTAAACCAGTGAAATATATATAACAGCTAGCTCTTTTGTTTAAAGGGCAAAAGCAATATAATATACACACACACACACACTAGCTAGTTGTTTAATTATATAAGTTATAAATTAAGATGAAAAAGAGATATATATCAGTGAGGGAGGTAGCTAGCTAGCTAGAGAGTAACTGATTGTGTTTTATTATATTAGAAGAAGAAGAGATAATATCGGTTAGTCACTCCATCATGGGACACCATTGCTGCACAAAACAGAAAGTGAAGCGAGGTTTGTGGTCTCCCGAGGAGGACGAAAAGCTCGTCCACCACATCACCACTTACGGCCATGGCTGCTGGAGTTCCGTTCCTAAACTCGCAGGTGCGTGTGTTCATAATTATTATTATATCAAAAGCTAGCTAGCTAGCTAGCTTAATATATACATATATACACACATATGGTGATGATGAAGTATTAATTTGTATCCTAGTGCAGGGCTCGAGAGGTGTGGGAAGAGTTGCAGGCTGAGGTGGATAAACTATCTAAGGCCAGACCTTAAGAGGGGCTCCTTCACGGAGGCTGAGGAGCGAACAATAATCGACGTGCACAGGATATTGGGTAATCGATGGGCTCAGATAGCTAAGCACTTACCCGGAAGGACCGATAATGAGGTCAAGAATTTCTGGAATTCTTGCATCAAGAAAAAGCTCCTTGCTCAGGGATTGGATCCTAACACTCACAACCTCCTATCCACCACAAAAACTACTACAACTACTAATACTTCTTCTTCTTCATATAGAATTAATATCATTAAAAGCAACAACAATAATAATGCTACTAATTATAAACAGTACATGACTTTCACAGTGGGTACTACATCCTCATCATCATCGAGCCGATTGATTAACAATACTACTACTACTACTACTACTACTACTACTTCATGCCAAGAGCCCTTTTTCGACACGCAAATTCTGAACTACAACTCGTCTGCTAACTGGGCTTCGCCGGCCATTGAATTGCCGTTTGATCAGAAGTTGCAGAATAATACACAACAGGCTTGTGATGATGATCAACTGCTAAATATTAATGACTACACATTATTCGATGGGAGTGGTGTAGTAGATTTCGATCTCGATCAGCTTGTGGAGTCGGGGTTAATGCCTCAACCGGCCATATACAACGATTATAATTGCAGCATTAAATATTCTGTGGATGATCACGTGGCAGCTAGCTTGGGATTCTTAAATTAGGCTACTGCAACATTTCAGTTTTTATTATTACCTTCTCTTTTGTTTCTCATTATGTCTCTGTGTAATGTAACTAATACGGACTGCACGGTGGACATCGTTATATAGACGTTGCAAGAAGATTGTGAACTGTTATACTTTATCTAGTGTTTAAATCAAAGCCATTGTGTAATATTCTTAATATTGATTTATTTGGTGTGGAGAAAAATATATGTTTGACCGAAGACCAAGCCGAACAATCAAATTTCAACATGCATGCATGCATGGCTAAATGCAAACAATGTTTTAGGTAATGGAACTTGAAAATATATATGATGAAATTATTCAAGCTCATGCAGCTTTGTTGTTTCCTTAATTATCATCTCTTTATAATCGTACGTTTCCTCATTTGGCATTAGTCATTTGACGCGATAAAAATTTAAAATGTGGGTGAATTTCACGCATATGATTACCTTTGAAAACCACATATCAAGAACACACAACAAGATTGATGATAAATGGATTGGTGGAGAACACTCAACACCAGGCCACCTCTGTTTTCTCAGGGCAGTTCAGATTGGTTTTGGGGCTTCAGCGGTACCATATGTGGGCTGCTTACTGGATAACCATAAATAATGGTTGCCTAAATTGTTTGTACGGCCCAAATTACTTTATGGGCCTAACTTAAAGAGACCAGAATTTGGGCTCCTCTCGGTCGAACCCATCTCTTTACCCTTGTTTTTGTAGTTCACATTTGACAGTGCAGATGGACGGGATGAGCTGCCGCATCGCATATAAAAGCTGTGTAACGATATTTGGCACTTCAATTTTTTCGAAAGGAACATATCGATTTGCACCGCAGAACAGCCGACCTTCTCCTACTCATCAGCAATTATGCCCAAAGGCTCTCTCTCTCTCTCTCTCTCTCTCTCTCTCAATTAGAACAGTTACTGATGAGAATGGGGCAATATTTACAATTAGCTGACGCGTGCAATTCTGTTGTGTGGCAGAGATTCCGGGGTTTTACTATGACCCAGAGAAGAATAGGTACTTTCCTTGCAAAGGGCCCATTCCAGGTTCTTCTTCTAAACCTCCGATACCTCCTCCATCAGACGACAGAAAGGTTCACTTGTCTTTGTTGATTTATTGTCCTTTTCATCTCAAATAGCTCTGCTTTTAGTTAGGTATTCTGTAAACATCCATGTTTTTACTGTGGCGATTTTGTTAGTTGGGTCCAAGTTTGTGTCTTTTCGTTTTTTATTTCCATGACCTAGAATTTTAGGGCCTCTAGACAATGTTTACTTGCTCTTAGTGTTAGTTAAGTCACGTATTATCCATTTTTTTTTTTTTTAGAAGAACTGCTGGACTCGATGATTTCTTTTACATACTTTCTTGGGAAAAAATTTAGTATTTCATTTCAAAATCTCAGGCTGATGGCTTGTGTAAAAGATTTAAATTAAGACCGGAGCTGCTTCAAGCACGAGAGTTGTGTGGTGACGTAGTTTCTCTCGGAAAAAGGAAATTAAACTTTCAAGCTGAATATCGGAAGAGACATGTATCACAGCCAGTGGTAAGAATTATACTCCTGTCTGTTATATTGAATACTGAAGCTGTTACATTTTTCATCCTTTTCTGGAAAACAAACTTTGAGCTCAGGATTTTCTTAAGGCAGCATTCTGTAGCATTCCACATACAATGTTTGTTTTTCTTTTTCTTTCTGGTATGGGAATCGTAGACCTTTCCAGTTATTGCTGCAATGTTTTGCTTTGATCATGAATTGCTAATTAATAATGTAGGCTTATTTTCCCCCCCTCGAGTATTTTTTAAAACTACCTTATCCTCTCTCCTAAACGAGGTTGCAATTCATTTCTTGTTCACATCTTGTGTTTGTTCTATCTTCCATTCATTCACTTAGGTTCTCCGTACAACAACAACAACAAGTATTTTGCCAAATCATTATTGACTTAGTCAAACAATTTAGTGTACTACTTTATAGTGTTATTCTTTACACTGTTCTGTATTTCATTTAAATGGTTATGGTAGTTTTCAGGTCTTTCTTTACTGGAACATATTTTTTAGCACACTGCAGTTGATTTTAGGATTTCACTTTTAGTGCTTACTATGTAAAGAAAAAATACAGGTATGGAAATATAGAGGAACAAAAAGGATGGCGAACATATCGTTGGAACATGGAGTTGCCGATGTGATATTGCCAGATGGCGTTGTGGAAAGTGATATATTGTTGAGTGGTGGGATGATTGGCTTACTGTGGTAAGGTTCCATCCTAACTCAAGGTTGGATTTTGATTATGGATTGGTTATTAGGAACTCATTTTCGCGAGATCATCTCATAGTAGGAACTAGCAATTTTGTGGTCAATGGTCCATTCAATCAAATCGTAATTCCAATTTCTTTGTCCCCTACTCAGTTACTGGGAGTTTATGTTTATCTTTTCTTTTAATATATTTTATTTTTCTCTGGAAAAAATTGTTCCTTATATGAACTATTAGGTTCCTGATGGCTCATATTATTATATCTTCTTGACCTTCAACTTCTCTGCCTGTCTTCAGCTTCTATCTAATTCCTTACCTTCGTATGATTTAGTGTTTTCCAAGTTGGGAAGAATCGACAAGAATTTGGTCCTACCAGAATCTACAAAGTAGATACTGTATGGCCTCACAATTCAGATCAGATGCCCAGACAAAAAGAGTTGCTACGACATCTTGGGGGTTATCGTGGATCAGGGCAACCTATGTCATCTGATGTATCTTGTGTGGTTGCATCAAGGAATAGTTCTCAGCAGACAGATGATACAATGTCGAAACATTTTGTGTATCCTTTTAGATCTAATGTTCAACGAGTAGTAGTGACACTGTCTCAATGAAAGCCAGTTTTCTTAGGCAAGCACATCACATTTTGAGAACCAATGTTTTTTCTAATGTTAGTGGAGAAAATATTTTGTTTACTTTTTACCGGTATTATATGATGTTCAATGTAAAAAGCCTATAACAAATAATTCTGGGGTATTTTCCAATTTCCATCATGGTGGTTATTTTATGGTCCTTTCTGTGTTTTGGAGTTAAAATGATGGTGATATTTGTGCTTCTTTATTGTAAATTTTATATGTTGAAGTTGTGACCTTTAACATAAGAAACAGGATAACAACACTGGGCAGCGCTGATACTCCTGGATGTGTCTATGTTCTAGACTTGAGCAAACCACTAGATTTTTCCTCCCTTTCTCCTATAGATGGTGGATTTAATGAGATTTCTCAATTTAACCAGACAATTTGGGCAGCTGACTGTGAGCCTAAAGGAACACATGCTGCAGTTGGCAAGTTTTTTCTCTTCATTGTTTTTTCTATATAATTCTGGATTCACTACATTTTCAAAGGTCAATCGTTCGATGTTTTCCTTATCTGGATTGTATGTAGATTTATTTATATAATATTTAATTGCTATGCATGTGGATACCTTTAACTGTTTCTTGCACAAAATCCTACTACTAGAAATCTTGAGTGTGAATGTGTTGTGGTGATTGTTTTTACTGTATTTTGTCTTTATAGCTAATATCATATTGTTGTAGGAACCAGCAGGGGAGTTGCATTGCTCAATATTGAAACTAAAGTATCATGGTCGCTTCGCTACAAAAGTGATGTATTGTCTGTGCAGTTTGATCAGTCTGTAAGTTTATATGAACTGCTTTTAACGATTTTTTTTATACATCTCAATAAGTTGTTGCACCTGGTCTTGCCTGAAGTCCTGCTGTTAATATACTTAATGATATACTTTTGCATAAAAAAATCCTAGCTGTAATGTGTTGCAGCCATCCCTGATATGAGGGTAGTGCCTTAACTGTCTCTTTGACTTGGGTCGTTTTAAAGTTTCAAAGCTGAGCTGCTTAGGCATGGTGTACCATGAAAATGCATGTACTGGTACTGGATAATCAAGTGGAAAAAATAGCATTCTACCCTCTCCATTGAAGCTACATTATTGCTTGTTTCAGGGGAATTCCATTCTTTGTGGGCTGAGAAATGGAGATATTTTGACAGTTGATACCCGGCAAAAACCAGTGAGATATCATCCTTAATGCTTGTTGATACTTTCTCTAAACCAGTCAGACTCTTGGGCTGGTGCGAGCTACCTTCTTGCAGTTCGTATGTTGAGAGTCATTACCAAATACCAATTCAACTAATGAAATCCATAATATAACGATAGAATTAAGAGAGCAAAAATGTAATCTTGAAAGTTGTGTTCTAGTTTTTGTAATTGGACTTTCCCTGTCTATCTATTCGGTACTTAGAGACTCAAAAGTCTGCTTAAATAATTAGGGAAGTGGAAATGCATGGGATGTCTCCTAAGATGGTTGTATGAGGCATTATTTAGTTGAGTCTTTCTAGTCGAAATATGATCCAATCAACAGTTGGTTCAGTTATAAATGAAAATAAGTGATGTTGGGCACTTTATTGCATATCCTGGCTTGTTAATCGGTCTGCTTTGCTGTGGAACTGGATAGCTTTACCATGTTAAGATCATTCTTTTACTCAGATAATATAAAAACATAATTGCACTGTACATTATTTACCTTTTGACTATGAGCAAATTTCTTGAAATTGTAATCGATCTTGTAAAAGCTGTCTATTTATCATATGTATGCAGATAAGGATTGCAGGAAGCTCTCGGAAAGTGTCGATGCCTTCATCTGTTTGTTGGTTTGTAGGCCTTCTACTTGATAGTTCCTGCTCCTACTACTGGATTAGTCGGTTATATTACGTAAAACTCTTGTAGATTGTACTCACATTTTATTTTGGATGTTAGTTTGGCATCACTTAAGCTTTGGGATCAGTACTTCTTGGCTAGTTCCATGGATGGGTCGGTTAGTTTTTCCTCAACTTTTTTAGTTAATGTTCTTTAACGTGTAATGTGCTGTTTTATATATGTTGATGATTTGATGAAAGTCTAAATATGTGTGTGTGTACAGATTAAGCTGTATGATCATCGCCTGATGCAGAGAGGAGCCGTTCAAAGTTATGAAGGCAATGTGAATTCTCATACCCGCATACGACTTGGAGTAGACCCATCAGAGAAAGTTATCATGTCAGGTAGAAAATGATGGATTTTCTTGGTTTTTCTTTGATGTGATGATTGAAAGATGATTGGGAGTGTGGATGGTATTCTTGTCATCATCAGGTGGAGAGGACTGTGGCCTCCGTGTGTGGGATATAAAGTCGGGGGAGATGCTCTTCAACGAGCAATTTATGGGTGCTGTTCCCTCAGCTGTGTGCTGGCCCAAAAGTCGAGGAGGTATTGTACTATGGGCTTCTATCTATTTTGGGCTACTCTGTGTGTGTGTGTGTGTGTGTGTGTGTGTGTGTTTAATGATTTGTTGTGGTGGTGATGGAATTGACAGGAAATGTAGGAAAAGACCATAGTTTGGGTGCATGGGTTGGATCATATGAAGGCATCTTCTACATGGATTGGCTCTGATTTTACTATTCTGATTTCCTATCGAATGCTGCCTGTGGTGACAGGTGGCGGCCTGCTTCCGCTCTCGTCTGATATATATATGTATACTCCCATCTTTTGTGGTGGTATGTGGAAATGTAATGGTAGATGATTGAGATCAATGCTACTGAATGCACACTTGAAATATTATATGATTCCAATCCCTCCTCACAATACATTTTCTGTCGTTTGAAGTACAGACATTGTGTGTAGTTTTTGCAGGGAAATTACGCAGATTAAAGAAGATACCATAACAAATAAATTGGAGATTGTATTGTTTGTTTTCTGAGATTGAACAGCCATAGGTTCAGCCAAATGATGTATAGAGAAGTATTCAAAACTATTTATCCAGGATATATGAGTAATGTGATGTGTTAGGTGGAAATAATATAAAAATAGGTAATATTCTATTCTGATTGACTAATAAAGAAATAATTAACTCTTAGGCTTGGCAGCAAAATCATTTGCACGTCCACCTTTTTATATGCATGAGACTACAATTTTTCAAGGAAGTTGTGGACTGCACGTCCATCACCAAATAACAAACACAGCAGAGCATCCATTCATTCATTTAGTGCACTGCACGTATTGCGTTGCAAATTCTGTATATATACACAAACACGTTATTTCTTGAAGAGATGAACCAAACAACAAACAAATCGGTCACTAGTGTACTTGTGTTGTTGATTTGAAGGAGCAGACAAAAATATGACGATGATGGGTAGTTATGTATTGCTGGTGATGTTGGCGATTCTAAGTGTGGCTGTGCATGGCGGGGAATATGAGTACGACGAGTCACTGAGCTACTCCTATTACCACCAAAGTTGCCCTCAGCTGGAGGGCATCATCCACAATAAGCTCGCCCAGTGGCTCAAAAACGACTCAACTCTTGCTCCATCTCTCATCAACCTCCATTTCCACGATTGCATTGTCAGGGTATGTTTATAGAACTACGGCTAATGCGACTCATTTGTCTGTATGTTGACATAGTTTAATTGTTTCGCACTTTTATAAGTAGATTTATTTCTCATTGTATCAATTATGTTCGTTCGCCTGAAAATTATTCCTTCTAGAAGATTTGATGAACAAAAACACATAAAATCTAGGGATGCGATGCTTCAATTCTTCTGGACCACTCAGAAGCCGAGAAATACGCGAAAACAAGCAAGCACTTGAGAGGATTCCAAGTGATTGACGACATCAAAACAGAGGTCGAGAGAGTTTGCCCACGCACAGTCTCCTGCGCCGACATCCTGACTGCTTCTGCCCGGGACGCCACAGTGGCAGCAGGAGGTCCCTTCTGGATGGTTCCCTACGGTCGCCGGGACGGGAGAATCTCCGTCGCCGGCGAGGCACATACCTTTGTCCCGGTTGGC